AAAAAATATGAACTAGGATTATTACAGTTTGTGTCTAGAACTTAACTCTTGGTTTCCAACCTTCCAGATGCAGGAAGTGGGCTCTCAGCCCCCAAAAGGGCGCATTCCCCAATGTCCACTCCATGTGTAGCCAAGGAGGGTAAGAGTGAAGGAAAAACTTTTCAAGGGTGGAGCAGGGCCCTGGAGACAGTGGACTGGCCCCGCCTGCCTAGTGAGCAGAAGTGAGACTCTTCAAAGACTCTTCTCACTTTAGGGCAGGGGCAATATTTGCCCAGCAGGATTTCAGGACAGCTGTGGGTGCTGTCTGCTGGGTGTCTCCCACTTGTCTCCTCTCTGAATTGGGCTGTTTAGTGTGTTATTCTGTCCCGTTGCACCACTATGCACTGGGTGTGTATGTGGGGCATGGGGTACAATTTCTCTTTAGGTCAGAGGTCTCTAGACCAAAAGGAACTATGTGGGCTACATGAGCCACATGAAAAAACTACTGAGCCTCCCACAGGGGTCCTGGGATTTGAGCTGCACATTACAGAATATCCCTTGACTCAAATTCCTGTTATCCTGTCTCTGGCCTTTAGACCTAAATTAAAAAGGCATCTAAGATTGGGCCAGACTTACCTGGGGAGGAGGAAAATGTATTTTATGTGTGGGAAAGAAGAGATGACTAGCTGCCCTGGGTCCATGCTCTTTCTTGCTCTCTGCCATGACAACCAACACATTCTAGACAGAGGCTGCCCCATCAACCTGGTATTCCCAGGTGCCTCACCATGGACTTGTACCATGGTCAGAAATTACCCTTTGGGGTTTGCAGTGTGGCCCAGCCTCTCCTGACCGATGCAGGGACTCCAGACATCCTACCTTTTGAAGAAGTGTCTCTGGAGCTACTGACCTGCTCCAGCCAGGGCTGCGGCCCCTTTGCACCCGCACAGCAGCTCTCACCCGGGACTCCCTCTCCCCTCCATCCTGTGTTGAATGCCTGGCTTTCTCTATCACATGTCTCCCACTTTCTTGCTTTACTTCTTTATTTCAGTGAAGCATGATCTCTGATAGCTTCCTACCATGAAAAAGGATGCATGGGAGGTAAATTTTTTGAAACCTCATGCGTCTAAAAATACTTGGTTTATAGTTTGGCTGGGTGAAGGCTGGAAAGTAATTTTCCTTTAGATTTCCAAGGCTCTGATCCTTTCCTTCTAACTTCTACTGGTTCTGTGTAGAAGCCCATGACCATTCTGCCTCCTGATTGTCTGTATGTGACCTGCTTTTAATGTCAGAACACTTTTGTCCCAGTATTCTGAAACTCGACAGTCATATATCTTGGTGTAGGGCTATTTTTTCCCATTGTGCTGGGCTCTCTGTGGGCCCTTTCAACAAATGTCTTGAAAACGTCCTTGGACTAAATCATTGGTGATTTTTCTCTCCTGTGTTTTCTCTGATCATTCTGTTGGGGTTTCTATAAATTGCTTGATAAATTGTATGGTTAGTGTACTAATTGGTTTTTAACTTTCTTTTCCTATTTCCCATTTTTTTGTTGTTGTTCTTTTTGTTCTACTTTCATAAAGGTTCTCTCAACATTCTCTTCCAATCCTTCTATTGAAGGTTTTTTTCTTTTACATTTCTGCTATTCTTCTTTTAAATCTCCCAAGAAGCATTTTTCCTAAATGCTTCTTTATGTATGTTCTCTCTTCATGGGTTGTGATACCTTTTTAAATTTCTCTAACGACATTATTGATAGTTTTATTGAAGTGTACCTCTCTCTGCATAGTCTCCGTTTCTTCCAACTTGCTTTTTAAAAATCTATTGTGGCTTTGTATTTCATGACACAGGCTTTCCTGAGATGCCAGGTCAGCTCCGGCTGCCTGCTTGTATTTGCCTGGGAGGGACTGAGAGACTGATTAGAAGTTCTGTGCACATGAGTGGCAGTGTTAACTGCGGCCTTCCCCATGGGGTGAGCTGGCTGTTTAGCTGGGCACCGCAGACGGCCAAATGTTTAGGTGCTTCCCCCAGAAAGACCTTGCTAGTCTCCTGGATGCCTGTATTCTGAAATCCCAGAAAGGGGCTTTTGCATCTCAGCATTCAATATCCACACACGCTTTTAATCCTCCTGATCCTATCACAGTACCTCTGCTCTTAATTGTGCCTGGGGCCTCCCAGCCCAAGGCACTCCCTTTTACTTTCTTCAGATAATGAACATCTTCAGATAATAAACATGCAGTCTAGTGTCAGGATGAAGGAGGGGCAGCTGTTGGGGATGCACAGAACTGGGGAAGGGATCTGGGCATCTGAGAGCTCCTTAGACAGGCTTTTAGCCAGTCCTTCTTATTTTAAACCTTCACCCTCGAGACCAGAGATGCTTGATGCCCCCCCATTCTTGAATTTTCTGGGGGTCCCACAGAGTTTGTTTTCAGCTTTCCGTCCTCACTACTATCTCAGGATTCCATTTTCTTGGGTTTGCTAAGTATTTTAGTTTCAACAATTGTGTTGCTCTTACTTCCTCTCTTGCTCTCCCTGTCCTTGTGGATTTCTGCTTTATAACAACTGTTTTAGACGCTCCAGAAAGAAGCTGAAGTCAACACATATTGTCCCTCTACCACCTTTACCCAGAACCTCAACCCCTCCAGCCTTGAGTCTCTTTACTCCACAGACATACCTGGGTACACTTGCTCTTGTCTGATCATTCTGCTTTTTTGTTCCTTCCATTTAAAGGAGACGCCCTATCCTCACATGTACATAAGCCATTGCCGTTAAATACTGCTTAGCAAGGAAAACACCAACCCACAGTTACGGTGAGATTTCCTCTGGGGAAGAGAGCTATATCTCTCTGGAAGATACCTCCACATGGGCTTCAGATAAAGGCTGTCGTGCCTGAGGTTCCAGTCGGCAAATTCCACAACAATCAACAATACTTGATGGATTACAGAGAAACCAGCCAAGGGACTGAGTTTTGTATCCAGAATGCCAGGGCCATAGCCAAAACCTTCTGGGAGGCCACATTCGTGGAGAACTCTTGCCCAAGGGTGTGCTATTGCAAAGAACCCTTGACTCAGGCTGGCTTCCCCTCACCAAGACAAGGTTGTTTTGCTCATGGCCATAGGAGCCGAATGTCTAGAATAGCATACACTCATAGGAGCGCCCCATTGTATATACAGGCTGGGGGGACCCGGTAGGGTTCGCGGAGGTGGAGAGATGCCACATCTTGAAGACTGGGCAGAATTTCGATGGCTGGAGACAGGCTGGGAGGGTATGGGTGGCTGATAAGTCAGCTTAGGGCCAGCTCCCTTCTTAATGAAGAAGTGACTGATGGTGACATGTGGTAGGAACACAGGAACATTCTGAATCATTACTTGGTCAGGACACAAATCTCTTAAATGTCATCAACACAATCTGCCTGGGAGAAAAACGATTACTTTCTGCCAAACACAGACCCTCCAGGAGAAACCTGACCCAGCACCTCAGTAGTCTCCCCAGAGGGCAGCAACTCCGTCAGCCAGAGGGCATTTTAGGGTTTTAGTTACAGACACCCAGAGTGCCCAAACAGCCATGCAAGGTTATGGTCACCATGATATGCAACCCAGAATGGTTGTCTCAGTTCCCCATTGGTTTCTTGAAAAGTGAAGTCTTTTCTGCGTGGGTCCCTGTGAGCAGAATGACTGACTCTCCCCCGCACCCCCATTTGGGGTTCAGTGCCTGGGCCACCTCCATTCTCCCTGCTTCTCTCAGGATTCAGCACGGTGGCTGACTCCTTGGAATAGCCAATAAGCACAACGAAACAGGGGCTGCCAGCCAGGGTCTGGAAAGGGTGGCAAAAAGGGGGTTACTGAGCTGAGCTGGGTTCCCAGGCAGCAGGAAGTTACTCAATGGTCTCTCCCGTGAGGGCCTAGGCCTAGGGAGTGGCAGGGGCCATGGGGTGGGAGGTGGGGGTACCGGTGAGAGTCAAGGGCAGGTTGGCCAGGCCAAGGCAAGGAGGCAGCAAGCTGGGCTCAACGTAGTTTCCTCCCAGAGGCCCAGACCAGAGGTGGGTGGGGTGCGGTGGGTGGGTGGGGCGCGGTAGGCGGGGTCCTCGCAGCTGGTGGCGTTAGAAGCCATGGTGGGAGAGGGGCAGCCTAGAGAAGTTGGCAGCTGGCCTGCGGCAGGCAGGGGGAGGAAGGGGCCCCAGTTCCCTGAACGGCGGTGCCGGCTGCCCTGGCACGTAGTTCACTTCTGCAAGCACAGGCTGTGGTGAGCACGTCACCGGGGCTGCCAGGTTAACGGCCAGCCAGAGCCAGTCCCGCTCCGGTTGACCCAGGCTCAAGGACAGCACGGCCGCGCCCCGGGTCCCCAGGCGCCCAGGGAGCGCCCTGTCCCTCCCGCGGAAGCTGCCCCGCCCCACCCGTGACCTCGCCCCCGCCGGGGCCGCGCCGACTCCCGGATCTCAGCGAGGGAAGAGCGTGGAGGGAGCGAGCGGCCTGAGGCTGTAGGCGCGGCCACCCGAGAAACCCACAGCGCTGGGGTGCAGTTCAAGCGTGTACCGCCCCTAGGCGAGGCCGGCAGCCCGGCTCCCGGCCAGAGCGGACACGCCTCCTCACCCGCGCCCCTTCGCGGGTGGGGCTGGAGGGACAAAAGGGCATCCTCCAGAGCGCTCCTCTCCACGCCAGGGCTCAAGGCTGTCATCACACAAAAGCTCTGGCAGGAAAAAGCCTGGCCGGGTCCCCGCTGCAGGGGGTACTGGTAGCAGCCCCCCGCGGCGACACCCCGACCCGCCGCCCTCGGACGTCGTGCGTCAGCGTGCTCAGCTCCGGGCTCCAACTTCCGCCCCTCCTCCAGCCGGCCAAGGGGGCACGCCCATTGGCGCGCGCAGGCCGGGCAGCCAGTAGGCCCTTCCAGCGGCCCGGATTGGTCCGGCCGAGCACTCACCAACCAATGGGGCCCGCCCCTGCCCTCGACCACGCCTCTCCCCTATACGCGGGCGCGCGACCGCACCGTCCCTCCGGTGCGCGCCCCGGCTCCCCGCCCCCTTTGCGCGCGCTGCTCCCCGCGGCCGCTGCAGCCGCCTGTAACCTGCGCCGCCAGGATGTGGCTGGGGGCTGACGTCGGGTCCAGATGTGGCCCCGGCCCCGCCCACCCCCGGGGCCGGGCCGCCCACACCGAGCCGCGGCGCGCACGGCAGCTGTCCCGCCTGCCACAATGCGCGGCGAAGCTGTGGCCGCGACTTGGCACGGTCGTCCCTAACGTCGTTGCTCCGCATCCTTAGGACAGGCCGCCCCTGACGCCGCGCGGGAGCCCACTGGTCCGCGCCCCCCCCATGCGTTCACTCTTCGGTGCCCCGCCGGGCCGGCGCCTCACGGACGCGGAGCCGCGCGGGTGACGGCAGAGGCGGCTGCGCGCCCAGCCTAGCCCAGCCCGAGGAGAGGGCGCGCCGCGCCCCCGCCCCCCGCCCGCCCGCTCTCCGGAGACCGTGGGTGCGGATGCGCCGCTGACGACTCGCCACGACGAGCACTGCCGCCGGCCCGCCGGCCGGAGCCCGCAGCATGGCAGCCGCCGCCTATGTGGACCACTTCGCCGCCGAGTGCCTCGTGTCCATGTCAAGCCGCGCGGTCGTGCACGGGCCGCGGGAGGGGCCGGAGTCCCGGCCCGAGGGCGCGGCCGTCGCCGCCACCCCCACGCTGCCCCGCGTCGAGGAGCGCCGCGACGGCAAGGACAGCGCCTCGCTCTTCGTGGTGGCGCGGATCCTAGCGGACCTCAACCAGCAAGCGCCGGCGCCCGCCCCGGGGGAGCGCAGGGAGGGCGCCGCGGCCCGCAAGGCTAGGACCCCCTGCCGCCTGCCGCCCGCGCCGCCGCCGGCCCCCGAGCCCGCCTCCCCCGGCGGCGAAGGCACTGCGGCCGCGCCCCCCAGCCCGGCGTGGAGCGAGCCGGAGCCCGAGGCGGGGTTGGAGCCGGAGCGGGAGCCGGGGCCCGCGGGGAGCGGCGAGCCGGGCCTCAGACAAAGGGGTCGGCGGAGCCGAAGCCGTGCCGACCTCGAGTCGCCGCAGAGAAAGCACAAGTGCCACTACGCGGGCTGTGAGAAAGTTTACGGGAAATCCTCGCACCTCAAGGCGCACCTGAGAACTCACACAGGTCAGTGGTGCGGCGCGGGCGCCAGAGCGCGCGGACGCGGCCGGCGTGAGCTGCCCGGCCACGCCCCCGGAGCCGCCGGCCGGGCGCGGGGCGCTGGCGGCTGGGAGTCGGTCGGGGACTCGCCCCTGCCCCCGCCGCTCCGTCTACAGCCGCCCGGCGCTAGGCGTGAGGCGGGTCCCGGCTCTCGCAGCCGGCGCCCGCTCGGCGACCGCGCCCCCGCCAGGCACGCCCCCTCCCCGGGCGCGCTCGGGCGAGGCCGCGGGGGCGGATGTCGTCATCTGGGCCGGGGGCGGGGCCCGCCCAGACCTGGGGGCGGCGCGGGCAGGTGCGGGCGGTGTGGGTGGGGACGGCAGCGTCGCTGGTGACGGTGGGGCGCCGGGAGCCAGGGGTAGGGTGGGTGTCCCCCCTCCTACGCCCCTCCCCCGCCGCCTGCCGCGCGCTCCGGAGGGGAGGGGCCGGCCCAGGCGCGCGGCGGGCGAAGTTCACGCGGGGACAGGGCTCCCTTTAGCCACTCGGCACATTCTTCGCTCTCTTCTTCCTGTAATTTTTCCAGCGCTCTAAGGTTTAATTTGTCGTAGCCAGAGCCAGCCACGGCGCTTTGCGACGCGGGGGGCGGCCCCGGGTCCCAGCGCCCTGCCCGCGGCTCTTTGTGGGAGCCCCCGCCCATCCGGCCGGCGGGGGCGCGCCCTGCCCGAGGGGCTCCTGCCCCGGCGGCGCTTTCTCCAGAAAGGAGGGCCCTGCGCGTAGCGGGCACGGCCGAGGCCCTCTTCCCCGCCTGCCTCTCTCCGGCTCTGGGGCCGGATGCGGGCAGGCTGCACCTGCACGGGGGCGGGCCGCCTGAGCCCCGAGCCTGGGGGTGCTGACCGCCGCCCGCCCCCGCCAGCCCCGAGTAGTAGTTCCCATCGCGCGGCCCGCACCTTTGTAGCTGATTCATTTATGGCGGTTTTTGTTTTTCTTTTTAAAATTTCAACACAGACACTTTAATAGATGGCAGTCTCCCTCTCCCAGTTTGGTTTTAAAAATCGTCTGTTTCTCTTAGCTCGCGTCAACTCTTCTGTGACACTTTACTCTTCCACCTTTGGGGCAGGTTGGAAACCCAGCTAGTTAATACTGCTACCGTGTTCTCATTTGTAACTTAGCTCACATGCGATTAGAAAGCATAAAAAGAAACTACAGCCTTCGATACCCTAGAGCCGAAGGCCCTTTTCTCCCGTACATTTGGAACTGAGCGGGTCCGAGGTCGCAGGTGAGGCGGGCAGACCTCGAACTAACTTTCTGCCGGCCGGCCTGGTCCCTTGCGGTGGCCACCCCAAACCACGTGGCAGGTGATGGGGCAGAGGGTGAAAGCGAGGCCATTTCCAGGCAAGCTGGGTCAATTAAGGGTGAGTGGGCTGGGAGCGAGGTAAGATTAGTATAAGGCTCCGAGTTCCGTTTGGGAACTGCCGCTGGGTGGGTGTGGCTGTTGGGGAGGGTCAAGCTAGGTTCTCAACCCAGCCGACCCTGCGGATAGGGTGGGGGCAGCTCTTGGGGCGTGGCTGGGGCTGAGATCCTTTTTGGAGGGCGAGGCTCCTCTTGCTAGGCTAGGAACTTAATGTTTGGGAAATCCTGCAGGCAGTTTCTAGGTGGCCTCCCACCCAGCAGCACCTGATTGCTGGCTTCAGGAATTGGGGAGCGGGGGAGGAGCTCGCAGTCATGGGCGGGGCCGGGTGTACCCTGGCCTCAGCCCTGGGATGTTTTCCTGGTGGGCTTGCCCCCTGGGTCAGGCTGTGCTGGCCCTGAGCGAGTCCCTTGGCTGGAGAATTGGGGCAGGGGCTCTGGACACCCGGGCCTCCTGCCATAGGGTTGGGTTCAGTCTCTTTGGATTGCCTGGAAACTCAAGACTGGCAAAAGAGAATAGAACCAACCCTCTTTGCCGCAGTGTACGTTCTTAGAGCCGGGAACCTGCTCCGCCCTTCAGGTGAGCAGATATCAGAGGCGCAACCTCCAGGGTGGATGCAGGCCTCCAATTCAGAAGTGTATGGGGCTCCGTGAGGGGTTGGGGGGGGGTGATAGGGGCAAGGTTTGGAGAGAATGCAGATTCCCAGGACCTGGAAGCTGACTTACTACATCCAGTTCCAGCCTGCATCTGGGAACTGCGTTTTAACTGGTACCCCAGGTGAATCTGATTGTAAGAATTGCACATCCCAAAAACCTGCCCCTGGAGGGAGTCTGGTTCAGCAGCTGGTGGAGGACACCTCTGGGGAGCCCAATTCCAGTCCCTGCCCAGGTGTGCAGAGCATAAGTCACTGGTGGTGTTCATAGGGGAGAAGGGAGCAGCACACAGAAGGGAGAAGCTGGCCAGGGTGACTGAGAGGCTTGGCCACGCTAGGATGGCTTCATTGCAGACAGGTTCAGAAGTGGATGTGGTTTGGCTTGTTGGTCTCTGGAAGGGTTCTAGGAGTCTCTGCAGGCAGTGACTGAGGTCATGCCAGGTCCTCTACTACACTAGGACCCCTCTTCCCAGGACCCATAGTGATTTCATGGGAGAGGGTGAGTATCAAAACCACTTTAGCCAAGAAGGTAGCCAGGAGCTCTGTGCTGTTTAGGTCTGTGGCCAGGGATGGATTCCCAGACCTCCTTACAGCTTGGAGATGTCGGCCCTGACCACCTAGAAAGTCTTCAGGGAAATGAGTTCATGTATGTGAAGATCTTTTGGAAGGTGCAAGGGTCAGCCTTGATTCTGGGGGCATCAGGCATCCCTTGGGCATGGCCCTGCTCTGATCTTCCACTCCAACCCCCTGAGCAGCTACTTGCAGAGAGCTTCCAGTCATGGTTAGCTGTGTGGTCTCCCACTCCCCCAGTGGTCATCCTGTGGACAGATTACCTTCTGTCACAGTTAGGTAATTGTTGATGTTATGGGAAATGCTCAATAAAACAAAACAAAGGAAAACATCTTTTCAGTTCAAGCCACTTTTTGTTTGGCTGATCAGAACTTTCCATCCCAGACCTAGAAAGTTTGCTAAGACTAGCTTTGGGGAGCAACAAGACCAGGAGCAGATTTTCTTGGAGGCTCAGAGGCTTTGGTGTGGAAATTTGAGGACCTGGAGAAGGAAATACTGGACTGGGGCCCTCCTGAGGGCAGCTGAGTTCTCTGACCCTGCCAGGTTCACAGCCAAAGATTTCTGTTGCTGTCGGAGTGGTGGGGTTTGGCAGGCCCAGCTGCCTGGGAAAGGCAGCTTGTCAGAGTGGAGGGCGACTGGATGGGAATTGTTTTACCCAGGGAAAAGCCTGGCTTGTTGGTGGCCACGATGGCCAACACTTTGTTCCTGGACACGCCCAGGCCAGGGCTTTCCTTCATCACCCAGCTGCAGTGGCCTTAGTTGTGCAACTCTTTAACAATGCAGAAGTGTGTGCACAGAATATGCAAGCCTCTCCCCCTGACACCCTGGCTAACCACCATTACCCTATGTTGGTGCATCTCTTTCCAGACCTTCTAAATGGATTTGCACATATACATACATGTGCATCCACATAGACATTTTTTAAAAATACATAAAAACATACTCTTTTGCTAGGCTTTTGTTCTTTGTGTTTGCCTAAATAGGTATCTTCATTCTTTTCCATGGCTGTATAGTATTCCAAAGTGTGATTATATGGCTACACCATAATTTATATAACTTTTCATCCATTGAAAGGACAGCCACATTGCCTTTTTTGTTTTTTTACTATAACAAGTCTTACATTAGTGGACTCCAGTGCATATCTGTCTTGGCACAGAAGAGCTGACATTTCTGTAGGATTAAGACCTGGTAGTGGTATCCACAGGATTGATGAGTATTAGTTAAATCCCACGTGGCTTTACTATATTGACTTAAAAGACATGTTTTTAAAGGAAATAGACTGCTGTTCTTGGTTTCCCCTGTGCTGAGGGAGAGACCTGTTATGTCACCATGCTACTTTTTTGAAAATTTTTACTTCTCTCAGTTCTCCTTTTGCATGTATGAGAACTTTGAGAACAATTAATACCAACAAAACCGCTATCACTCTTGCACACTTCGTGGCCGGGTCTCCTTTAGTTCTGGTTTTCCAGAGACTGGGAGTGCCTGGTGAACACCCAGCCCCTGCAGCCAGTAGGCAGGGGCTGCCGTGGTGCCATCTCCCCCTCCCTCCCTGCTGAAAGAGGGCTAGAAGTTGTCCTGGTGAGTAGGCTGATAGCACCACGGACCGCAGGTCATTTAATCAGTAGCCCTATGTCTGGGGCTTCAACTCTGGAACACAGCAGAGGTGGGGCTACATCCTTCCAGGCAGGTGTCGAGCTTTGACAGCCCCTCATGCCAGTAGGTCCTGTTTGCTCCCACTTTGCACATAGCTTTTAATCCAGTTGGTTGATTCCTCGACTTAGCAAACCAAAAGGGGAAGGGGAAATACTTAGATGGTAGCTAAGGCAAGAGAGGAGACAAACCAGCAAGTTGTAGGCATATGCACGTGTGCGTGCGCTCGTTTTTGAGATAAGGTCTCACTCTGTTGCCTGGACTAGAGCGCCGTGGCGTCAGCCTAGCTCACAGCAACCTCAAACTCCTGAGCTCAAGCAATCCTCCTGCCTCAGCCTCCCGAGTAGCTGGGACTACAGGCATGCGCGACCATGCCCGGCTATTTTTTCTATATATATTAGTTGGCCAATTAATTTCTTTCTAGTTTTAGTAGAGACGGGGTCTCGCTCTTGCTCAGGCTGGTTTTGAACTCCTGACCTTGAGCAATACACCGCCTCAGTCTCCCAGAGTGCTAGGATTACAGGCGTGAGCCACCGCACCTGGCCTGTATGTGTGTTTAATTGAAGAAACCCCACACAGCTGAACAATGCTGGAACAGATGTGCCGTTTGTGGAGGGGCATGTCATTCCCTAGTGGTCCCTGAGGCCTGCCCGAGAGAACTGTGATAACTAACATTCATAACAGTGATCTTTCGATATTAGGGCATTGTAAAGTGTGTCTGGTTTGTACTTTAAGAAGGCAGTTGAAATA